TGAATCCTATATGCAAACCAATATAAGATTTATTAAAAAGGAGGTATTGCTTTAGGCAAGTCTGCTGTGAGAGACCTCTCTAGAGCACTGAAGAGCAATATCAGTTTAAAGAGTAAGTTTCACTTGACTCAGGATATGGTCTTTTCTATCACTGGCTATGCATTTGAGAGCTGGACCATGAGTAAGGATGACAGAAGAACTGATATATTTGATTTGTGGTGTTAGAAAACATAATTGAATATCCCATGGGCTGCTGAAAGACAGATAAATTTTCAAGGAAGTGCGACCAGAGTGCTCCTTGGAGATAAGGACAGTGAAGTTTCTTCTCAAATGCTTTGGACATACTGTTAGAAGGGGCAATTTCTTGAAAAGGGGCATCATGCTTGGGAAGGTGGAGGATCAGTGAAACAAAGTTTATCAACTGGATCAACTGACACAGAGACAGCAGAAATTTGTTTGACTTTGTCAGAGATGATGAGAATGACATAGGATGGGATAGGATTCAAATCTGTTTATAGGGTCAGTATGAGTCCTACTTAACTCAATAGCATGTAACAACAAGAAGTTATATACTGAAGGTGCTCTTATGGTGCACCTTAAGTTGCTAACCAAAAATACATCGTGGGCTGTTGGAATCCACAAAATCCTTCACTGGCAATTTCACCATTATGTTGTTCTTGTTAGGTACCACTGAATCCACTATATCTCACAGTGACCCTTTGAACAAGAGATCTGAACTTAGTCCTATATCGCACCATCTTCACCATCTCTGATAAGCTCAAGCCCATGGTTACTGTCACTGTGTCAATCCATCTTGTTGGGAGTTTTCTTTTCTTTTGCAAACCCTATACCATTTCCACTATGATGTCCTTTTCCAAGGACTGGCTCTACTTTGCCAACATGGCCAAAGTGTGAGATGAAGCTTCACCATCTAAGCATTATCTTGGTTACGCTTTCTCCAAGACAGACTTATTCATTCTTTTGGTAGCCCATGGGATACTGAGATGCTTTTTTCCAACTCAAAGGCAAAGGTTCTTTTTCTGTCATCCTTACTCATTGTCCAACTTTCAGATACATAGGGAGTAACTGAAAAGACCATGGCGTGGACCAGGCATACCATACCTCACTCTTTAAACTAGTATCACTGCTCTTGAGTACTATGGAAAGGATCCTGAGAGAGATTTTTCCAACACAATGTACATTTTGGGTTTTGACTGCCCCACCACCAGGCTAATAAGCATAATGATAGATGGAGAAGAGATTAGTAAAGTCTAGCTTCTTAAATGATTTGCTCAGCATGTACATTGAATAGGTGCAAAGAAAGGATACAATTCTGACCCACATCTTTTCTGATTTTAAACCATGTAATGTTCCCCTGCTCAGTTCAGACAATAGATATTGGTTTCACATGAGCACAATTAAGTGTTCCAGTATTCCTATTCTTCTCAGTGTTAGTCATAATTTGTTATAATTCACACAAATAACTTTTCATAGTCAGTAAAATGCATGTGAACATTTTCATTCTCTGCTTCCACCCATGATCTATATGGCATCAGCATTGGTATTCCTTGTACCATAGCCTTTTCTGAATTCAGCTTGAATTTCTGGTAGTTTCCTATTCATGCAATTTTCCACCGTTTTTAATAATCTTACAGCTTCAGAAGCCTAACAGAAAGTTGCTATGAGTTGGAATCAACTCAATGGTAGTGAGGTCAATATATCTTAGAAAAATCAGAGGTGCAGCATATAAATCTACATACCCATTAATAGCATGCCACTATTTAAATAGCAAATACACTGACACCACTTAAGTGGCTATGAATGAATGAGGGACACTATGGTATATAACATATAATGTTACATAATTGTTGTTAGGTGCCGTTAAGCAGACTATGACTAATATGACTAATACCGCTTCTGTGAACAACAGACTTGAATCTCGTCCTATTTTGTGCCCAAATACTAAGAAAATAACAAAGCATACAAACCCATATCAAATGGATGAACCTTGGGGAAATGATGGATTAAATCAGTCAGTCATAAAAGGACAGATACAGGAATCCAAGAGGGACGGCTTAATCATAGGGTCATACAGTTTTATGGATGGAAGGAGGGATGGGTAAAGGAGAATGATCTAGTGTGAAAAACAATGTATATTAACGTGATCAACTTTGTATATAAACCAGTATAAAAGAGGTAAGAAATTTTTAAAAGTTGCTCACCTATTTTAGCCTTAGTTTCTTCTCCAACAATTAATCTAAGCATTTGCTTTTTAAAAAAAAAAAAAAGTTGCTCAGCTCAATTTGTTAAAAAAATAAAGTTTCACACAGAAACATTCTTCGATGGTAATTAGGGGTGTGTGTTGGGGAGAGTACTGAATATCCCATGGGCTGACAAAAGTTCTCCTTGAAGGAAGTGCAACCAGGGTGCTCCTTAAAGGCAGGGATGGTGTACTGTGGTCTCTTACACTTTGGGCATGCAGCTAAGTGTGGGCAGTCCTTGAAAAAAAGACACCATGCTGGGAATGGTAGAGGTTTAGAGAGAAAGACCCCCAATGAGTTGGCACAGCAACTGTTATAATGGGCTTGAGTTTATCAGAGATGGTGAGGCTGGTGTAGAATAGGACAAAGTTCAGATCTGTTGTTCATATGGTCACTGAGTCAGTCTTATAGCACTACGACACTGGATGGTGTTTAACAACCACAAGGGTATGAAGGTAAGACAGTAAATCATTAAGTGTTGTTAAGTACCACTGAGTCAACCAAGACTCAATGCAATCCTATGAACAATGGATCTGAATCCTTTCCTATCCCGTGTTGTTTATCATCAAGTAACGACTGACTCATAGCTGATTGTCTAGTGGGTTTTCATAGGTAGTATATTACATGGGAGGAGACTGCCCATCTTTCTTCCTCAGAGCAGCTGGTGGATTCAAACCACATGCCTTTGGATTGGCAGCATAACTTCTTACTCCTAAGCCATCAGTAGTAGTAACCTGTGTAGGAAGAAAGTCAGCACAAAATGATCAAGGTAAAGGAAGACAATGGGAGAATCCTAAAAGTTAAAGACAACAGAGGTAAATGTTATTAGATATGTACCTCAGCAATAATAATAATAATCTCAGTGAGTATACTGAGACATGCAAATTGAACAAGTATGGGGAATACACTGAATGGGATTACCCACACAAATATGTTAAAGTCTGACAGAGGTTACTTCTGCATATATAATTTCCATGTGCCGCAAAGGCATCCATGAATGTAAGAGCACACAGGGGTAGTTAAGAAGACTTCATCATAATCAAGTACTTTGACAGATTGAGTGGCTAGGTCTAAGGGCTCAGGACCATAATCTTAGAGAACATCAAGGTGACCTAGCACATTGTTGAGTAATGATCAAAACTTACATAAGCAGCCATGTGAGGTAAAAATGTTGGTCTTTCCCAGTCTGCAGCAAAAAAACAAAAAATACATTTAAAAAAATTAGTCCAGACTAATGACCCACCAAAATGTCAATCTTCATGACTCTAAGCCAAGAAGTAAATGGTACACAAGTACTGTTATAGATTTTTTCTAAGAGACAGCAGAAGGTTCTGAAGAGAATGAGTAAAGAATTTGGGAAAAGTGTCTAAATTATTTAAAAGACAAACACACATGCCCCCTCAAACTCAGAAGTCTTATAAAACTAGTAGAATCCCCTATGATCATTACTTTATGATATCCTTCGTGTATGTAATGGAACTCATCCCTGTGGCTCAACTTTCAGTCAAATAGAAGATAGGTCTATAAGGTGATTAAAAAACCCAGGAGGGTTAATTTGGTCTTTAGAATAATCAAAAGGCAAGTAGTTTTCTAAAGTTTAGAAAGTTGGAAATGAGAGGATTAATGGAAATGGAAAACAAAGGAAAGAAGTAGAATGATAGTTGTTAAATTGTAGAGATTGTAATTATTGCTATCAATAAACTGTCAATGGAAATCAGATTTGTGCTGGAAACTTTTATCCAAATCACAATATTGTTATGTATTGTTGAATTGGGACCAATTCATAGCTGACCCTCCAGTGAATTTTTAGAGGTAGTAAACTGCAAGGGAGAAAGAAGATTGCTCACCTTTCTTCCAAAGAGCAACTGCTGATTCAAACTGTATACCTATTGGTTTCTTGTACTTAAAACCCCTGAAATTATAGGGAGCTCTGGTGGCCTAGTGGCAAGAAGCTATGCTATACTCTCGAAGGTGCATAGTTCAAATCCACCAGCTGCTCCGCTGGAGGAGGGGCAATATCCTCCTGTGCCAGTCAGATCCAACTTGATAGTATACAATAACAATAAAAAAGAAATCTGAAATTATCTCAAAATGTTTTGCATAATTCCGTTTCAATTTATTAAAGCTAGTTTTACCTGTTTCAGAGCAAGTGTAGATTGCTTTCACAAAGGTAAAAAATCCTAAAGCTTACATTATCAGAATTTGTTTTCATTCTCCTGTATTAAGTTATTGCTGTTGGTGATTGCCATTGAGTTGAGCACAACTCAGTGACCCTATGAAAATAAAGGCCTGAAGCCTTTTAAAAAGTTCATAGATTTTCAGAGGCATGCTGTTTAGGAATATACCCAGTAGAAAGAGAATGAGCATCCAAATAATGTTTCTTTTCATTGATAAGTGACCATAACTTACAAATTTAAAATTAACTATAAATCATTTTCTCCCAACCTCAACTCACATCAACTGACAAACCAATACAATGAAAAATAAGCTTGGAAGTTCTCTTCAAATAGTTATTGCAAGATGCAAGGTAGACCTATTCCATGAAATGTGACTATCTATGGGGGAAAGGGAAGACAATATAAACCTAATTAAGCAAATCAATAAAACTATTGCAATATAGCTAAGTTTTATGTACATTTTTATTTTTAATTGCTATTGCACAGATATTTGAGAAATAAGGTTTTCCTGGTTTTTGTACCTTAGGGGATTATTTCAATTTAGACAAGACCCAAAAAATTGTTTTAAAAGTTCTAAGTCATTATTTTTATTAAAGACTTTTTTTCTCATCCCTCTCAATTTAGATGGAAAGATTCAGCCTTTTGTGTGCAGATAATTTATTTCCATGGAAATGTTTAAAGGATATCACTGGCACTCACTGTAGGCCGTAGAGTCTTCTGGTAAAGGGGTAGCTAGGACCTCTTTGCTCTCAGTAAGTGCTCTGGGCTGATGGATAAAGACACTAAACCTAACACCTTGGTTGTTAGCAGCTCTCACAAAACCACTATTTGCAGTCGTTGTGATGGCTTTTAGGGTGTCTCCTGTTCCAAAAATGGTGAGTGAACGGTTATTGATTTTTGAACTAGTCACTAGTTTCAAGGAACGCTCAGAAGGTTGGTCCGGAACCACACAGATTCGCTTAATTAGCATAGCAGCCCTCTCTCTCTCCCCAGGTCCTCCTAGGGTATCTAGAATAGACTGAAAATCCTTGACAGCAGATTCACAAGCAAATAACTCTTTGTCCTTCATAAATGTCTCTAGCTGAGGTAGAACTTGTTCTTTCCTCTCCTGTTCTGCTTGTTCTGTGAGTACTTTTTCTTTGAAGATAAAGTGACAACCTCCATAGCTTAATGCAGATACATAAGTAATTAAAGTAGTAATGTCCAGATTTACTCTTTTGCACACATCAACCTTAATCTCTGTTGGAAATGCAACACTTGCAAGTATGTTTGCTCGGTCCACTCTGGTCACCTGCAAAAGTTCGGGGCCCTCGGCATCTGATTCACTGTCACTCAGCTGGAGCTCTTCAGGGTGACCTAACAGAGAATTAACCGCCACGATGTCTCCTCGCACAGATATGCCCATTTCTGTCAGTTTCTCTGCCATGGGGCTTGAGATACTGTTGTAAAAAGCAAAAACAATGTGAGGGTTGCTATACTGCACTGGCTGCTGGTGACTGGCCTGGAGGAAGTCTTCTGCCTGTTCAATAATGCTTTTGTCACCATACTGGCCTCTGCCCAGCCAAATGTTATGCAGTGCTTCAGCTTTTCGGCCAATGGCTTTCACCCAAGTATGACCACCATTTGCAACGACATCCACCACAAGGGTCTGCTTTTCTCCCAAGGTGTCCATGTAACCAAACACATGAAGAACACTAACAACTTCTTCCAAGTTTTCTGCTGTTTCCACAATGGCTCGTAAGTGTGTTAGATTCGTGCTCTGTAAATGGGATTCTTTAATAGCTACTTTCCCAGCTTCTACTTTTTGTAAGAATTTTAATTCTGCTTTCAATTTGCTGCACAGCTTTGCACCACCTTCTATGCCACATTTTCTTGATCTAGAAAGGGATTCTGCCCTCTTGATTAGTTCCTTGGCTATAGCTATCCGTTCACAGAGCATGGAGTGTGCAGACATGCTGAAAGCATTATTCCTTTCCTGTGAAAGAAAAAAACAAGCCAAATATGAATAGTCAGAAAATTACTGCAATCCGTTCTTTACTTATAGTCCAAAACTTTGTAGAAACAAAATTGTTCTACCTGACTAGGAACCTGATGAAAGCTAGGGAAAGGATAAACTGTAACTTTTTAGCCTTCATTGTTGTTATGTACCGTTTAATTGCAACTGACTCATAGCTAACTCTCCAGAGGCAGTAAGAAAGGAGACTACCCACCTTTCTCCCCTGGAGTGGCAGCACAACTTCCTATCATTGCTGTTGCTATTAGGTGCCCATTAGTCGATAACAAATCATAGCTATCCTATGAACAGCTGACATGAATCCTGCCCTATCCTGTGTTATCCTCACCATCTCTGACACACTAGAGCCCAATGCTGAAGTCACCATGTCAATCTATCTCGTTGGAGAGTCTTCTTCTCCTTAACTGACCCTCCAAATGTCCAACATGACATCCTTTTCCAAGAATAGCCTCACCTACCTACATACATGTTCAAAGTATTAAAGAGGAAGCTTCACCATTTTTGCCTGGCTGCATTTTCCCCAAGACATAGCTGTTTGTTCTGATATTTATTTAGAATTCCATTTCTTCAGCTGGAAGACCATGGAGTCCACAGCAGGAGTTTTCCCACATGGTAGCCGGGGAAATGATTACATTTACAGCTTTACTCTTGTAAATTTTCACTGCAGAGAAGGTAAGACACGAACTTAAGAGTGAATAAAAATATTTATGCAGACTAACTTGGTAAGCACATTGTTCTAACCAAGAGTGTCCTTCCAAATCTCACCCTTTCCTCTTCCATGAGTTGTCTCCTTTTAATCTGCTGCCTCGCGACTTCTCAGCGGTACACACACTAAGGAACCAAGGGGGCATCTAATGTCAACCAAGCGCATCTGCAAAGACTGAAGGAGACCCTCGGCTTGACTTCCACTTCCACTCTGAAAAAAACAAACCAAACTTCTAAAATTCCACCACGCGGGGCCGCGTAGGACGCTGGTCGACAGCGGCGGGACCTCCCAAGTGGACGCGCCGGGACTGCCCGGTCCACTGACACCGAAAGGTCCGCAGGCCGAGAAAGCTCCAAGCACCCCGCCACACACAGAGGCTACCGCAGGGCGGAGCGGGCGCTGCCAACACCGCCCTCCAGGCCTGGCCCCCGAGGGCGCCCGCGCTCCGGAGCGCCCCGCACCCCTTCCTTACTCCTTCACCCGCTTCCCGCTGGAGGCGCCAGGGAAGGGGCGCGAGCAGGCGGACGCACGCACCTCTCCCGGAGCCTCCCGGAACCCTCTCCCGGCGGCGCACCTCACTTCCACCGCCCAACCTCTCCCTGCGTGCCCGCGCCGCCGTCTCCCGCGCCGCCTGGTACCGTCCCGCCGCCGAGCACCGCGCCTACGTCTCCCAGGGGGCAGCGCGCCTGCGGAGGGGCTGACGTGGGGCGGCAGCCATGCTGCTGCTGCTGCAACCATCGCGGGGAGCGCGCCAAGGCGGAGCTTTCAGTGCTGGCTTGGCGTTCTGTGGCCTAGTGATAATGAACTGCGCTGCCAACCCAAAGTCAAGCGATACTAATCCACAAGCCGCTCCGCGAGAGGCAACAAAATGCACTCTCAATTGAGATTTGTTATGTGTTCCTCTGAACCCTTCTCACTTCACCACCTCTGACATATGTGACCCCATTGTCACAATCACTGTCTCATCCAGGGTCTTCCTGACCCTCTTTCTACCTTTCTAAGCATAATTTCTTTCTTCAAGGACTGGTCCCTCCTGGCAACATGCCCAAAGTATGTGAGACAGAGCTTCAAAATCCTTGCCTCCATGGAGCAACCTGGTTTAACCCTCTCCAATATAGACCTGTTTGCTCCCTTGGCAGTTTATGGTATGTTCAGTACTCTTATGTGGCACCACAGCTCAAGGGTTTGATCCTTCTTCTGTCATCCTTAGTCACTGTCCACCTCAGATGCATAGCAAGCAATGTAGAAGACCATGGTATGGATCAGACACACCTTAGTCTCTAGACTGACATTGTTGGTCCTTGATTTTTCCCAGTGCATCTCCTCTTTTGATTGTCTGACTGCTGGTGCCAAGAATGTTGACTGTGGATCAGAGTAAGATCATTAATCATCTCAATCTTTTCTCCGTCTATCTTAATGCTTCCTGTTGGCCTATGATGTGTTTTCTTGATGCTGAGCTGCAATCCATATTAAAGGCTGCAGTCCAGTCTTCCTCAGTTTCTGAAAGTAAGGTTGTGCAGAAGTCATGCTGTGGATAAGTCTTGCCCCAATCCTGATGCCACACTCTTCTTTATAAAGTCCAGTCTTCCAAATAATCTGTTCATCATATAGATTGAGAAGGTATGGGGAAAGGATACATCCCTGACACACTCCTTTATTTTGAACCATGTAATGTAAATGCACTTGCAACTAACAGTCTCTGAAAACCTGCACGAGGGTCAGCTATAAACTATGAGTTGCACTAATTCACAAATCTGGGGCAGTTCCTTCACGGGAAAAAGATGGGACAGCCTCTTTCAGATTAGACTTCGGAGACTTTGACACAGGATCACAAATGGAGTCAGGATCCACTCAATGGCAATGAGTTTGAGTGGCTAAAAAATTACCAATGGGCTAATTCAGTGCCTCAGCCCCACCCTATTTCCCCACATCAAGGTAGAGTATGTGTAGAACAGGTACTGAACAAGGATTGGGAAAACAACTGGGTTATATTTAAGTTTCTCTTGCTCTACCCAAGTTTATATCCCTATCTAGTGTCAAGTTTTAAAATCTCTTTTGGTCCATCTTTATAGATAGAACAAACTAAAGCCTTGTGAAAGGCAAGGCAGCTAAGTAGGCTTTTAAATGGTAGCAGTGGGATTTGTAACTTCATGCCAAAAACTTGCTTCACCATTAGAGTGTGGACAAAGAAATCAATTACTTCCTTCGAACTGTATAGTAGTATAGCATTATCCAAAGTCATCCAGAAGTCTTTAAGACAGCAAAGCTCATTTTAAAATTTATTTTTGTAAGTTAGTTATGAATGCTTGCTCCTTTCCAAAAATCTTGAATATAAAGAATGGGTAGAGGGTGATGGGCGGGAACCACCAACAAAGAACAAGGGAGATGTTAACACAAAGTCTGCTCATTGACCCCAGAAGAGCCAATCTTGATGACAAAGATTGGAATGGGAAAAGCTGGGACTTTTAAGAATACCATAATACAGAAGACAGGGGAAATGAGCTCCCCAAATTAATTTTCTTGAAACTGCAGGGGTGGACCAGGAAGAGTGTGAGTTTTTATAATATATTCTATTGTTCTCCTTAGTGGCTATGTCTAGACTAGTTTGTCTGGCCTTCAATATTCCAGTTGGTGGCAGTTTCACATTGTGATTTAAGCAGAGTAACTCACAACCAGAGATTATAGAAACGGATGGAAAAGGACAACAAAAGGGCTTTATTTTGCTAACTCCACCAGAATGAGAAAGTCCTTTTTCCACCTTAGATATTATACAATGTTACTTCCCTTAGTACAGAACCATTATTATATCCATTAGTTGTAAAAGCTTATCATAATGTTGTTAGTTTTCTATTACTTTGTCAGTTGCAATGACTGCAGACACATTTCTGAAAAAGGAGTCTTAACATTTAAACAGTGCTCTATAGTGAGCTCTTGTGACAGTCTGTAATGAGTTGTGTTTCTGACCTTTGAATCCACAGCTAGTCAGCAGAGAAAGGTGGTGCTAAGTACCTAGGAATCCCATGTATGCAGAGTGGAAATGCTCCATACATAGGGTTTTCAGTTATCTTCAGAAGCAGGTGTCTCTAATGGCTCATTATTTTATCTTCTCAGCAACTGTGATGGTTGTGTGTCAACTTGATGAAGCCATGATTCTTTGGTTTGGTAGCATCTCCATGATCAGCTTTACTACTCTACCAACTGAAAGGGATTTCCCCATTGATCTATACTGAATACATATGGATCTGTAACAAACCTCTTCAGCTTTCTGCATACTCTGGACCCTGTAACTGGCTCTCATTTGTCCTCTGGTTCTCAGGACCTGAGACAGTGGCATGCTGTACTGCTTGCCAAATTTTGGGATTCATTAGTTTCTACACTGTGAGGCAGATGCTTGCAGTCTGACCAGCTGATCTTGAGTTCATGAGCCCCTGCATCTGCCAAAGTCAGAATACTCCGACCTGAGATCTGACCCACAGACTTGGGACTTGCTAACCTCTATAATAATAGAAGGATCTCAGATAAGTGCAGTTAGTGTTACACGTTGCACCAGAGGCAGCAGTTCAAATCCAGCTGCTGCTCCACATGAGAAAGCTGAGCAGTCTCCTTTCAAAAAGATGTACAGCCTCTGAAACTGGATGGAGGTTCTCAATGAGTTATACAGTGTACTCAGCAGCAGTGAGTTTGGTTTTGTTCTGCTAGAAAAATCAGCCTCAGATATTAACCTAAAAAGTAATAGGTGACTCAGAGAGGCTACTGGAATGCAGCCAGATTTGTACTTATGGAGCAGTTAGCAGAATTGAGAATACTGCCTACGGAAAGGAATACAGTATCAAAGAGCAAGTGATGAACAAAGCAGGGTCCCAGAGAGGCTTTGAAACAAAAGGAGGCTGGAAAATAGGAAGAAGAAAGGGATCAGCAATGCAAAGCTGAAAATGGAGATTGCTTGAAACTCTACATAAAGAACACACAGGTCTTCTCTTCCATCTGCTGTTGGACAACTGCTCATCTTTCTCCTGGCAGTAGCTTATACTGGGGATGGGGGTAGCAGTCTTCCCAAATAAAGGCTGGAGAAAGATGCCATAAGTAATGATGAAATGCCACCAGCCTTTTCTCTGGCTCCTACAATATACCCTCTTCCCCAACCTTTATCTAAAGAAATTAAATCGTACCCCAGTAGGATTTGAGCCCTCCTTAAAAAGTATTCCCAAACTTTTGCTTACAAAGTAATCTCAGAGACATTTTAGCCATGGGA